GTAAAGAGGGGGCTCTGAGAAGGTGCATGAGGAGCTTTCTGGGGTGATGGAAATGACCTACAGCCTGACCAAGGTAGGGATGACATGTGTGTACACATTTATCAAACTTTCTGAACTCTACATTTAGAAGGTACATTTTAGGGCCGGCCCGGTGGCACACTTGGTAAAGTGTGGCACTTGGGAGCACGGCGGCGCTCCTGCCAAGGGTTCGGATCCCATATAGAGACCGGTCCGCTCACTGGTTGAGCGCGGTATGGGCACAACACCGAGGGTTGTGATCCCGTTACTGGTCACAAAAAAGACAAAAAGGAAAAAAAAAGGTACATTTTATTGTATGTATTGAATTTAATGAACTGGACTTAAAAACAAACAGTAGGGTCACTCACCTCTAGGCTTTACTCTATTAAGCACATATATGAACCTGGGCTGAAGTTAGTTTTTTATATGTTTGTCTCCCCTGCTGGGCTTTGAAATCTTATAATAAACACCTTTTGGAGTTTTTGCCCAGCTCACAATGATTCCTACTTCTCTGGGAACTATTGACCCTCCAGCCATGTTTGCACCACATGTGCCACCCCCAGCTCCCCACCCTCCCCCAGGGTTGATTGGAGCAGAAGTGAACACAGGACAATTCTTTACTCTGAGTTTTGGACTTTTGAACTGATGCTCATAGACAGTAAGAGTAAGAATAGTTCGTATAGATCAATGGCAATATTCTAGAGGGAATTTCATCAAAGTCTTACTTGTTGAGGTTCCTGTGGCTGACTTGCTCAAGCCCTTCCCCTGCAAAGTCATGGAAATCATCACTGGATTCCATAAAAACATCCCATGCTATGGTTTAAATGTTTGTCTCCTCCAAAACATTGAAATGTAATTGCCATTGTGACAGTATCACAGGAGGTGGAAACTTTAGAGGTGTTTATGAGGCACAGCCCTCATGAATGGACTAACGCCATTATCGTGGGAGTGGGTTCATTATTCCAGGAGTGGGTTCACTCCCTCTTGCTCTCTCTTTGCACTTCCACCATGCAATGTCTTCTGCCAGTGTCTTCTATCACACATCAAGAAGGCCCTCACCAGACACCAGCACCTTGATATCAGACTTCCCAGCCACTAAAACTGCGAGCCAATAAATTTTTGTTCACTGTAAATTACCCAGTCTGTAGTATTCTGTCATAGCAACACAAAATAGACTAAGACACCCCAATAATCATTCACAAAGTTGATTTCTGTCACTTGCAATCCTGAAGTAGCTCTGCAGGATTAAAGCCATGTCGGTTTGTCTTGGACCACCAACTGTCTCCTAATGGCCTAAGAAGTGCTCAAAAAATTTTTGTTAAATTAACAGATGAGGGCCGAGCCCGTGGCGCACTCGGGAGAGTGCAGCGCTGGGAGCGCAGCAGCGCTCCAGCCGCGGGTTTGGATTCTATATAGGGATGACCGGTGTGCTCACAGCACTCACTGGCTGAGCGCGGTGCAGCCGGTCTCAAAAAAGGACAAAAAAAAAAAAAAAAATAACAGATGAGGTATGGGCATCCAAAACAGATGTAAAGACCAGAGCAAATGTTAGCAGGAAGTTAGGCTCAGAGCAAAAGAACTGCTCCTGCTGCCAGGATGGGGTAGGAAGACTGTCGGGACACCATGACCATGAAGGATTAAGAAAAATGCAGACCCAGGAGCCAGCGAAATGCTGAGAATGTTCTCAGACACAGCAGGGCAACAAGGCCCTGTGACACTTATTCAAGACCACAGTGATTTAGGTCAACCCAGCTTCATCACTTGTCTTGCAGGTCAATTGAGGAGAGTACATGCTTCTCACAATGGGAACCATGTGCCACACCAATCTAGGCTTTGAAAGCCTGAGAAATTGTGGAAAGACAGATATTGGTGAATTAGATCTTAACAGCATCGTTTCTTTACAGCACTGAGAGTGCCTAACAGCCAGGAGAGCTCCAGCATCTCGTTCATCCTGTGATAAGACTCTTAAATCTACTTCCTGGGAGTCCATGCAGTGTCCATCTTCAAAAGAGAGACCAGCAGTTTTCCGCAAGCCAAGTAGCCAAATGATGAGTTCATCAAATGGCCAATTCGCAGACTCATGGATTTTCTGAATGAACAGTTTGCTAACATTACCAGCTTGTAAGGTTTACAGCAATTTTTAATTGGATGGAATAGATTCATAAGCTTTCAAAGATTTATGTGACATTGTAGTTGACTGGTTTTCATTTTGTCTTCAGAGAAGCATTTTAAGGAATTTTCTACTTATCAAAAGCTAAGGATGGTTTATTCTTCCTTTGAATATATTGAACTTATGAATACATTAATGAAGAATATTTCTGAATGCAGAATTTTCTTGAGTGTAATAATATAATGACACTCATTCTACTGTCTTTCTGTCCCCTACTCTCTGCTTCTCCTTTTCTGTCTCCCATCCTATGCCTGTTTCTCCCTTTGTCTCCCCTACTCCCAATGGCTCCATCTCTCTGCTCTTAGTCTCCACCTATCTGCCCCTTAGTCTCTCCCCACCTCTGCCCTTCTGTATCCTCCTCTTCTGAACATCTCTCTCCCTGTGTCCTTTTTCTGCCCCTTCATGTCCCCCATCTCTTCCCCTTAGTCCCTCCTCTCTGATGCTGTCTCTCCCTCACTCTCCCTAGTCTCCTTTTATTTCTTTTATTTCCCTTATTTTCCCCTCAGTTCCTTCAACTCTATTTCTCTTCTCTGTCCCTACATCCCCTCTCAACCTGCTCCTGTCTCTCCTGTCTGCAGTAGCAGTGAGCTTGGGGCAAAGACTGATGGAATATTCCTCAGTATACTGCTTTGAAGAAAAATTAAATCAGTTACTATAGCTTCATAACAATTGTAGAAAACCGTTCTTAAAAACAGCATCCAATAGAAATTGTTGTAAACCTTCTAAATAGCTACAAAGAAGCCAATGTTTGGCAAATTGGTAAATCTGGCAAATTGGTCATTAGATGAATTAGCTTGAAGCTAATCAGCCTCAAACCCAGGAAAAGGTTCTGCAAGTTTCTTACCTGCAATCAAAATCTCTATATTTTAGTATTTAGGGCAGAAAGCCTGGTTTCATCTGGATTTTGTGCAAGCCAGCAGCTACTGATTCCTTCCTAATGGGCTGGGGCTGAGTTATCCGTGCACCATAGTCCGTTGCCTTTCATAAATTCAAAGATTAATTTGATCATTCAGACAGGAGTAGGAAATGTAGGTTGAAAAGTAAAGAAAGGAAGTGCAAAGGAAGCACATTCTACAATCAGACCTCTTTGTGCTTCAGTTTGCCTGTTTGTAAAAACAAGGAGATCTCCCTCCTGAAGTTGTTGAAAAGGTTATACTAGATGACAGTAAAGCCAAAGCGTGGCACATGGCGTATGCTCGGTATATTTTAAAAATACATGAGTGCCTAGATGCTGTGTACCAGACACTGTGCAAGCACTGTAGACACTACATACAATAATGCATGGGCCTCGTTCCTTAGGCTCTGACAATTTATATTTATCAACCAGTACTTGTTCTTGTCAGACTCAAATCCAGGTCTCTTTGACCCAAAGTCAAGCTCATAACCACGTCTTTCCACTAGTTGCCTCAATTGTTCGTCAACATAAATAATGGGCATTTAGCCACTTATCTGTGTGGAGTGGTCTTTTGCAGTGTTCTTTAGTCCTGCAGGACCTTGGCTACCAACTCTCTCACAGGTGTCTTGCAGAGGTCTTCTGGAAAGACACCAGCTGCAGTTTCTGAAACCAGGATAAAAGTCTCCTAAACTCCCCCAGTTTTGAGTAAGAAGAACTTCTAGGCATGCAAAGCAGAGTGAAAATGAAGCTTTTTATAAAAAGTGAGTCATTTTCTAAAGACCGTTCACAAATGTGACCACAAACTGAAGAGAAACCCTATATTAAATTTTGTAACATTTGACAATACATTTCAACACATTTTTTCAATCCAAGAGACTCGGAAAGGTAGAAATAAATAAATCACATAATGGTGTGGTTTTTACATCATATTTTAGGTAGGTAAAAATATCTCATTTTAACAGATCATGCAAAGAGGAACACAAGACAAATATCAGCTGGTACAGGCACTCCCATTTGCTACACATATTATAGTTTAGCATTGAGTTTTAAAGTATAAATCACAACCAGATTGCAACATAAACACCAAGTAAAATTGTATGTTCCCATGCTTTTGCTAGTTTTTACTTAACAGGTATAACTTTATAAGAACAAGATGACTTTTTGACAAACAAGAGAACTCATGGATAAAAATGCACACTGTCCCTTCAAAGGGTCACCTTCTATCATCACAGATGTGTTCCATGTCAACTGTTCTTCTGCTCAACATATTACTTTGAGAACTGCCAATACTCTCGGAAATAGTGTGTGTGTGTGTGTGTGTGTGTGTACCTGCACATGTTTGTGTGCACACTTAATAGGACACATTTTTGTCTTATGGAGAAAATATGTTACAATGAGCTATAACCCCACTAGGTTTTCATTCTAACTTTCTCTCATAACTAGCTGTGTGACCTTGGACACTTCATTTCACCCACCTGCACATGTTTGTGTGCACACTTAATAGGACACATTTTTGTCTTATGGAGAAAATATGTTACAATGAGCTATAACCCCACAAGGTTTTCATTCTAACTTTCTCTCATAACTAGCTGTGTGACCTTGGACACTTCATTTCACCCTGCTGCACCTCAGTTTGCTCCTCTGCAAACTGGAGCTAGTAACACCATCCTTCCATTGTGGGGTGTCATGGCGCTTAAATGAGATAAACCTGGTACTACCCTCAAAAAAATATGACTTTCTCCCTCCTCTATCCTTTTTAAAATGTGTACATGCTGCCATTCAAAAATATGTCTTTTCTCTTTATTTTGAGGGACGTTTGGCCACCAATTTTTAATAGCCAAAAGGAATTTTGGGTTGAGAATGACAGATGTGCAAACTGCATAATTTCCTATCAACTCTAAAACATGCATGAGTGACAAATAATAAGACAGGATTTTCAAGGTGGTTCAGACACTAGTCCCAGAGAAAGCTGCAAAAGACACTCAGAAGAGAGGTGTTCTGAGAAGTGGCAGCCACAGTGGAATAGTGTCATGTCTCTCAAGGTGACCCCTGGAAGGGGCAGCATCCATCTGCATGTATAAGGTCTCAGCACAATCATATAGCTCCATTCCAGGAAGGCTCAAGAGTTCTATTTAATTCTCCAGTGGAACTCTGTCCCTTCAGTTTGAGTCTGAAAGCTTGAATTACAACAAGAGTCTAAGGTTCCCACATTTCCAGGGGGGCAGTAGAGCTCCACCCGGGTCTGCTTCTCTTGCAAATATTCTGTTTTCTACTCACAGTTCAATCTCTCTGCTGACCATCTGCTGCTCTTCCAGTGGTGCCTACGAACTTTCCACACTATGCAGCCCCTGAGACTGTGGTTTTGACTCCAGCAAGCCCAGGTGCCTGGCAACACGCAGGCCTTCCTCCTCCACTTCCCTCTCGGACCTCCTAAGTGTCACTCTGCTTCATCCCTCAGAGGCTCTCTTAGGGGCGAATGTGCAGAATTTTCCTGAATGTCTTCTTGAAGTTCTCATTGCACAAGGGGTAGATGAGAGGGTTCAGCGTGGAGTTGATGTAGCCCAGCCAGATAGTGAACATGTGCACACGCTCGTGGCAACAACTCTTGCAGAAGGCACTGACCATGAAGAAAATGAAGTAAGGAATCCAGCAAAGGATGAAGGCTGCCATGATAAAACCCAATTGTTTGGCAGCCTTCCATTCACGGTTCATGTGCAACCCAGACATGTACTGTCTCGAATGTGAGCGCAGCCTCTTCCAAGTGAACTTGATGTAATCCAGGCCTGTGTTAGACCCGCTTCTCATTTTGCCTTTGTCCGGTGCTGGCTCTGTGGCATTGTCCGAGTCTGTCCGGGAGAAGGACTGGCTATCCTCCAGCATCTGATCCTCTGCTATCTCACTGTCTCCTCGCATGTGCAGACTCTGTTCATCAGTCTTGAGATGGCTCTGGCTCTGGTCAACGTCTTCGTAGCCCCTGCTACTCCCCTCCGCCACAGTCCGCACCTGCACAATATCAAGTGGGAAGCAGTGAAGTTTGGCCACTTCTTCATCCTCCTCTTGGATGAAGAAAACCGGGGGTTTCATCTCCTGGGAGTCTTGGGATGGTGGCTTCAGGACAGGCCCACCAGCAGCATCTTTTGGCTTCCTTTTCAGGACCTCCCAGGGAGGTGAAGTTTGGCCACTTCTTCATCCTCCTCTTGGATGAAGAAAACCGGGGGTTTCATCTCCTGGGAGTCTTGGGATTGTGGCTTCAGGACAGGCCCACCAGCAGCATCTTTTGGCTTCCTTTTCAGGACCTCCCAGGGAGACCCCTTCCCTGGTTTCTTGGCATATGCCTTGGGATTCTCTGGCCTCCGCTTAATTTCTGAGAAGGAAGGGAGGGATCCGTTCATGAGCTCCCGGTGCTGACAGTGTTGCCGTACAGCCTTGTAGATCCTAGCATAGAACCAGAGCATGAGAAAGGTGGGAAGGTAGAAGTTGATGATGGCGGTCATAACCTTGAACCAGGTGACATCGTAGAAGTCTGTCTCGCATTTGCCCTCCCGGTGCCCCGAGGTCTGTGGTATGAAGTAGTGCCAGCCTAGAATGGGAATAATCCACAGAAAGGAGAGAAACCAGGCCCCCAAGATGGTGACTGATGCTCGGGTCTTGGTACGATACTTCAGGTACCTGAGGGGCTGCCGGACAGAGCGGTAGCGATCAATGCACAAGATGAAGACACTGAAAATGGATGCTGTGCTGGCCACATAATCCATGGAAAGCCAAAAGAGGCAAAGAGGCTGGCCCAAGGACCACTTGGCCATGAGGAGGTAGAGGATGTTCATGGGCATGACCACAGCGCCCACGATCAGGTCTGCCACCGAGAGGCTGATGATGTACAGGTTCCCCACAGTGTGCAGCTTGCGCTCCCGCCACACAGCATACAGCACCAGCAGGTTGAGCCCCACTGTGACCAAGGAGATAGTGCTCAGGACCACCGCCAGGGGTGTCAGCTGGGGGCTGGCCAAGGTGGTCTTGTTCGTCTCACACATCTTGTCTTCTAAGACGTAGGAGGAATTGGGAAGGGTCATTGGCACAAGAGCAGCCTCCAGCTACGACTCACTGCCTGGGGGAAAAGATATAAGGATTAAGGTCAGAGTTTTGCTCATCAGTAGAGTCACTGAGTAGAATCATGTCTGTCAAAGTGGAGGTGTATGCTGTGGTAGACACTGCTAGTTACCTACTCAACAGCTGTATCCTCTTCTTCCTACATTTGTTCATTCGATGACTATTTGTTGAATTTCTGGCATACTTCTAAGCATTGGGGATACAGCAGTGAATAAAACAAACAAAAATCTCTGCCGTCACAGAGCTTACATTCTAGTGAGGGAGCTGAGCACAAATGAGGCAGGTAAATAGTTTGTATAGGTCTCATTTTGCACATGTTATAGAATGGTGGCATGCATCCTGCTGAGTCTAAGCTGAATATGACAATCTAGTTCCTCTTTGCCAGTGGCTGGTTTAGGAGTAGCTATGAGACACATTGTGGCCAAGGAAGTATATGGGGACATCCAAAGGAAGAGGTGGGGTTGTAGGTTCTTCCTCTAACAAATGAGTAAAACGGGGAAAAGCATCCTTTCCCACTCGCCCCTTCCTCCTGGCAGGAAGTCAGGAAGTAACGTTTGGGGCCATGGTAGTCATCCTGGGGCTATTGGGGAATGCCAGAAAAATGCCATCCCTGAGCCCTCTTATCTGTAAGCTGCTGAACCAACCCTGGAATCTTCTTCCTCCAGACTTGCTATCATGGGAAATAATTAAATGTCTTTTTTGTTTATGTCACTGTTGTGGGAGTTTTTACTAGCAGCTAATAGCATCCCTAACTAATATGGGAGGTGACAAGGGGATGAACCAGAGGAACATAAAGCAGGAAATAAATCTAGCATATCTTCTTAGAAGAACGGTTCTCAAATAAGAAAGGGTTATGTTTTTTGAAAAAAAAAAATCATTATTTTACTTTTATATTTGAAAGGCAAAATTTTGTTTTTATTACATGAACTATGACGATATATAACAAAACCTTTGCTAGTGAGGCTTATAGAGAACAGATTGACTCCTCTGTTACTGGTGATCCTCGATTGGAGTGGGAGGTGGAAGTAGGTATTAAAACTTCTGGAAGAGGTTGTTAGATTTTTGTATTCATTGAAAAGTGGTGTGAGGGGGAAAGGAGAAGGGAGAGGTTGGTTAAGGGATACAAAATTACAGCTAGATAGGAGGAATGAGTTCTAGTGTTCCATAGCACTGTAGGGTTACCATAGTCAACAATAATTCATTTTCAAATAGAAGAGAGGATTTTGAATGCTACTAACACAAAGAAAAGATAAAGATTTGAAATGATGAATATGCTAACTACCCTGATTTGACCATCGCACATTGCATGTATGTATCAAAATATCACACTGTACCCTGTACCATGTGTACAATTATGTGTCAATTAAAAAAATTAATTTAATTTTAAAAAGTGGTATGAGTTTAAAGAAAACTGAGAAACACTAACAGAGAATATACATTTCTCTTGTTGACAATTTAGCAAAAGCAAATTATTTTTCCAGATAAATTCTTGACAGTTAAATTCATATAATTTTTTAAGATAAAAATCAAGACCCCAAGGCATTTGATCCTCGTGGAAGGAACTTTCTGAGATACATTGTTGAACAAGCACCATTTGAGTAGTGCTGATTTTTTTCCCAGCTCTGCTGCTCATTGTCTGAGTCATCTCTCAGCCTCCATTCTCTCACGTGTTAAATACGTGAGGTGGGGTAGAACACCTCTAAAGACTGTTCCAGGTCTCCTTTTTAGAGCCTCCCCTGAGGTATATTTTGATGTCCTTCTCCATCCTCTGACGTCTCTGAGAGTGCCTCCTCTGACTTCTTTAATAGCATCACTTTCTCTTCTTGCTACCCACAGCTCTGCCCTTTGCTCCTGTCACTCTATGCTATAGCCTCAGGGACCTCATCCACTCATTCCTGTACACTTCAGCCACCTCCTCCTGAAGACAACCCCCAAGCCTACAGCTGCAGCCTGTATCTTTCTCCAGTCCTACAGCCAAGAGCCAATAACTTGCAGCTTCATCATCAGCTCCAAATCCTTTGGACTTGGTCACATCCACCTCCACAAGGAAGAAAGAAGGCTAAAGAAACATTGCCTCAGAAACTTACTTTTTATTGTTTTAGGAAAGCAGGAAGTAGTTCCCTAAAACATTCCCGTAGCTTGGCATTCTCAAGGTAGTGCTAACCACCCCCCTCCGCCAAAGGTGTCTCACTTCTCTCATTTGCCTGGCACACAGAGGGAAGATTGATTTTTTTTTTATTGTGCATATACTATTTATCATATAAAAAATTATACTTGACCAAAAAATCTGTTTTTATATAAAAATCTCTATTTTTCCCTTTTGATTAAAAAAGAAAAGTTATGGGCCGGCCCGGTGGCGCACTGCTACAGTGCGCAGCTTGGGAGCGCGGCGGCGCTCCCGACGAGGGTTCGGATCCCACATACAGACCGGTTCCCGCTCACTGGCTGAGCGAGGTGCGGGCGCAGCACCGAGGGTTGCGATCCCGTTGCCGGTCCCGGTCCGGTACGGGTGCGACACTGAGGGTTGCGATCTGTTGCCGGACACGAAAAAAAAAAAAAAAAAAAAGAAAAGAAAAAAAGAAAATAAAATAAAAAAGAAAAGTTATGACTGCACTGAAATCACTGAACTAAAATTAGTATAGCATATTAAGTGTTTAGGGGTGAAATCTACTGATGTCTGCAACTTATTTTGAAATGAATCAAAAAAGTTGGATAGATGGTTGGTTAGAAAGA